AACGGAGAGAGAGAGAGCAGAAGCTAGCTCCGGCGATATGAAGTGGTGCTGTGCAGCGTGTGCAATGTCGAGTGTGCCGTGAATCTATTTTCGAGGGAGGCACATGGCATTCCAACTGTGCACATCGCGTTAGTTACGATAACGCAATCGTTGCTCGAGTGGTGGACAAGTATCGTGCCTTCCTGGAAGATTCCCTGCTACTCGGTACACATTCGCCAACTCTGTCTTCTCGTAACACGTTTATTGAAGATCTTCCAAATACGTCGACTTCCTCTCCTCCTTCAACCGAGAGAGAGAGAGAGTCTGTCGAAATTGAAAATTCGCAGAAGAATATACCTGCGCGAACGAGGCTACGGGAAAACGTTGATGGACGCAATAAAGCTTTCTCATTGTTCCGGAAAATTACAGTTTCGCTCTTTTTCCTCTTTGTCCCTCCCCGGTGGCACCGGATGGAAATGGAGAACGATAGACGGCGCGCGGAGGGAGAAACGGTGAACACGGAAAAATCGTGGACGAGCATTAAAATACTGGGCTAAGCTGGATAAAAAATTTCCGCCGTAATTTCTGCCGCACGGAATCGTTCCTTGAAATTCGTTACCGTTCCCCGGTCACCTCCATTTCCACGTCTCTCCCCATTTTTCTACCCTCTCTCTCTCTCGTTCGTGTCCCATCGACGATTACACTTTTCTCAATATTACCGTCCATTTCGTATCGGATATTTTTCCGCTGCGAAGAGCTCTCCGCATAACCGTCATAACAGCGTGTAATGATAATAGTTGGCCCCCACGATCCTGTCAATTGCAGCACTCAAAAGGAGACACGCGATTTCTTCCGCCATTTTTTCTCTCTCTTTCCCCATTTTTTCCCCCTGAACGGCGACTCCAAGTGATAACCGCGACCACGTTTATCGAAACGTCCCTTATTCTCTCCGATGCACTCCGTTGCCGCGCGACGTGACGTGTATAGTCGGTGGAAGAAATACGGCAAGAGGTCGCTCAGGTGTCGAAATTTACGCTTTGAAGCGGTATCTCGAGAGAAACTTGAGAAGATAAGGGCGTGGAAATCTCAGTCAAGGCTGCTACGAAGTGTCTGCTTTAGCTTCGATTCAATTCCAATCGAGATACGTGATATACGATCTAGATATCCTCGCTACTTAACGAGGATAACGCACGACCTCGTTGTATCTCTTCCGTCGACTATACATCCAGAGAGACTCGGGCTAACGAGGACGGAGAAGTGCAGGCAGAGAGTGAAAAAAAAAAAAACTGTCGAGTAAACAGCGCGTGCACTTCGAATGGCACTTTGTCTCTGTTCGATGATCGAAGGAGGAAAATTGATTGCGAAGGAAAAAACCCGACATGTTTCGCGATAGGTCCAGCGTTCCGAAAGGGTTTCGCAGTATCCACGTGTAATTTTCCGACGAATATCTGTATACAGTATACACATGTATATGTACAAACGTATATATATATACATATTATATAAATATTGCATACCGGGTGTCCTAGTTGGTTTTGATCAAACTTTGCCAGTGCGTTCTATGGGTATAGATGAGAAGAAAATGTTATATTAACATATGTCGTTTGAAGCTTTGTTAAAAAGTTATAACGATAAAAGTACGAAGATTCCGATACAAAATAGGAATAGACATGTTTTTTATTATCCGTGATCGTTGGAAGATGTTGAATGGTAACTTCTGCCATTTTTGTCATCATTTTTCAAGGAGGCTTCAAACGACCCATATTTGTATTAAATTTTTTTCTTATTTATACTCCGAGAATATACCGAGAAAGTTTGTTCGAAAGCAACTGAGACACTCTGTACATGAAATCTAGAGAGAGATAACATTCACACACATGTGCAAGGATTATGTGCTAGCCTAGTGCCTAATATACTATATTATACATTATATATATATGTGTATATATATATACATACATTCGTATTTATGACGAGAGGAAACGTTACCGTTTCACCCTGTGGAAAACACTTATTGTAAATATGAGTACGAAAATATATATGTGAGTGTTTAAGGAATACCATACCAATTGAATTCGCCGGCGAAGAAACCACCATCAAATTGTTTCCGCTCTGGGAAGATTCGTGAAACGGATCGTTGATCGATAGAGACCAGACAAAATTGTCGATTTCTGCGTGCAGCTCTAAATTCACAAACTTCCGACGTTTCAACGAACACCAATTGTCACGAATATAATTATTTCTACGAAACTTAACCCCTTAATGCGAGCAATTCTTTCCCTCGAACCGGTTAGACTTCATTTTGACGAGAAACTCTGGGACGATTGAGATATACAACGTCTTCGCAATTTCACGTAAAGAGGATTGCAAATAAGCACGGCTGTTTTTTCCTAGCGACTGTAAGGAATAACGATAACGAGAATAATCGTAATGGACGCAAGGGAAGGAAATAAAGCCTTCGTCTGATCGCTCAAGTTGTTCAATCGTCTCGCCGGAAGCGGAAACTGTGCGCTCTTTTAATGGGCCGTATATACGTCAACTTGGCAGATCTTGATTGCGTTTCAATATCAATAGCTAATTGGGGTTTAAACCGTGTCGAACGTCGTTCTTTGAGAAACACACTACTGATTTATTAACCCGAACCGACGGCGACAACCGCTCAATTACCGTCGAAAATAATAATTAACAGAGATTTCAAATAGTCATTTTGCAGAGAGATCGCTGTTTAATAGTTTGAGAGAGAAGAATTATTTAACTAATTAGCCAGAAACGGAGGAGGATAGATCTTTGTAGAATCTACCGGTTGCCAAGAAAATTTTAATTAACACGAGCGAGATATACGAGAGTGGACGAAACTCTACCGATAACCAATGGCAAGACAGACAGAGAGAGACCGTTCGAAGAACCAATCGATCGACTGGAAGCGTTTCTAACGGACAGTCCACTCATTCATCAATATGCATCAGAAAACATTAGCAGCGTGAAACGAACGGTCTAAGACGATGCACTGTAAATCGAATCATCCACTTCGGTGATCAAACCACGAGGAGGAGGAGGAGGAGGACACGTATTAAAGCGTTAAGGGGTTCAGATCCGGCAGAGAGAGAGAGAGAGAGAGAGAATTCGGCGCGAACGAAGCAGAGCAATTTGAGATGGTTTCTTTCTCCGGCCGTCTCGTTCATTTTCCGCTCACCTGTTTAACGAAAAAATGAAAAAAAAAAAAAAAAAAAAAAAAAAGAAACGAAAAGAAAGAAATAGAGACACACGATGGGATGCGACATGCGCCGAACGAAAACGGTAAATATACTTGAAGCACATCAGAAGAGTTGAACGACGCGGCGTAATGTGTATCATACATCTGTTAAGTATACATATATATCGTAGTAGTCCCTCTCTGTTGACTTTTTGAAGCCAAAAAAAAAAAAAGCGAGTGCGAGAGAGAGAAAGAGAGAATGAGAGAAAGAAAGAGAGAAAGAGAACGCGCGCGAGAGTAAGAGGCACTCAGTGGAAAAAAAGGCTTTCTGTGTGTGGAGGTAGCACATTTAGATTAGTGACGCGTAGAAAACTAACATCGGGAGAGAAAGGTAGCGAATGAGCTTTCTTCCCCCTTCCTTGAGCTTTCTCAGCACCCATATCTCTGCGTCCG